AAACAAAAAAAAAACAGTACCTAAGTATAGTAAGAGTAGTACAGAGAATTAAGTATGAATACAGGTGACTGAGTACATTTTATTCCTTTATATTTTTAGTGCATTTAAAGAATTACAGGCAAATGTTTTAGAAATTTTCTAAAGAACAGTGCTGTGGTTTGGAAGATGGGCATCTTGCATTTATAGTCTGACTAAAGGCTAAGCATTTAACCAAATATGAGACACGTTGCTGGTATAGGGGTAAGCACAGCTGCCTTCTAAATATGTACTATTTCATATGTACTATACACATACATACTCAAGAGAGTCACAAAGTCAAGTGAAAAAAAATCCAAAAAGAAAGAAATGGTTGACAGTATCAAACATTACTGAGTAGTCATAGGAGTTAAAAACCAAGAAGGCAGCATTAGATGTGGCCACTTGTTCATAAATGATCTTTTTTTTCTACTGTAAGCCTTAACTCCTAGGCTCAAGCAATTCTCCCGCCTCAGCCTCTCTTGAAGAGCTAGGACTACACTACAGACACACACAACCACGCTTGGCTATTTAAATTTTTTTTTTTTTTTTATAGAGGTGAAGTCTCGCTATGTTGCACAGGCTGGTGTCAAAACTCCTGGCCTCAAGTGACGTTCCTGTCTTGGCCTCCCAAAGCATTAGGATTACAGGCATGAGCCACCATGTCAGCCCATAAATATCTTCAGATAGGTGTTTCAGTAGAACTGGCATACTATACAGGGCAGAAACTGGATTAGAAAGGGTTGAAGAATAAGTGATGGTAAGAAAGCAGAGGAAGAAAATGGGGTCTATGTTTATTAAGGAAGAAAAAGAGTTAATAGAAAAGCAGTTGGGGTGAATAACAAGGAACAGAAAAATCTGAACATGTTTAAGATAGAGAATCTTGATCAAACACCATACTGTTGCAAGGTTCCTATATTTTTTAAGTAGTAATATATAGTAGTCCTCCCATATCTACAGGGGATACAGTTCAAAACTCCCAGTGGATGTCTGAAACTATGGATAGTACCAAATCATAACATATACAGGTTGAGTATTCCCTTATCCAAAATGCTTCAAATTTCAGAAGCATTTTGGGTAAGGGAATACTCAACCTGCATATGTTATGATAGTGTTTCAAATTTCAGGGAATTTTGGAATATTTGCATAATACATACCAGCTGCACATCCCTA